CAAATCCTTCCTATATAATAAAAGGCTAATATGCAAATCAACCTAACTGCAGAATGACAGGTCGTTATGATTCACACTGACCACCATGGTGCAGATGCTCAACACAGGAGCTGCCCTCTGTTGGTCAGTTTGCTCCCACAGGGGGAATGCCACTCAGCCAGAAGCCATGGCCAGCACAGGGGCGGTGGTAGGGGCCTCTCCACGGCAGCACTAAGGACCTCTGACTGCCTATGGGGAGCGGGCCTAAGCCATCAGTCAGACATCCTCCGAGGGCTCCCAGACTGTGAAAGGGTGCAGACCAGGCTGAGGGATCCTGGGAGTGCATGAATTTTGGGTACCGGGCCTCTAGTATGTAAATAAAGGAATGATGAGGTGAACTGTGCTAAATATCAATGTAATATAGTGTAGGTCCAATATAACATATTTTTGCCTAATGCAAAATCAGCCATTAGGATTAGCCCTGTAGTCAAGTTAGATCCACCAGGTAAAAGCCCCACCAGTCAGTCAGGCTTGAGTGTGAGCCATTTTTTAGCTGCAAAGGCTGAGGAACCAGGCCCGCCTTCCAGGCATCTTCAGACAAAGTGCAGCAGGTTTGGACACAAAAGTATTCTGAGGCTCAGCCTCCAAACCAAAGAAACCAAACTTTATCTCAGCAACAGAAAGTTGTTTACATATGAACAAAGGCAAAAGAGCACCAGCCTGGGACATGCCAGCACAAATACAAAATATTCATTTGGTAAACTCCCTCCCTCTTGAGGCCCTAGCACAACCTTATGGCACATTAATCTAAAACACATTTTACAGAAAATAGTGGTATTGAGTGAGGTTTAACATCAGTGTAAGCTTTATGGTCCTAATCCCTTCTCCAGGAGAGCTAATTGGATGATAAAATGTCAAGAGCTGCACCGTGGAAGGTAACCTATTAAAAAACAGTTGAGCTAAAGAAGTTCACGGTCTTGTTGGATCACACAGCACATCAGCCCTAATTTTAGGTTTGGGGGAGTTGCCAGCTGAGCGTCTTGCAAACCTTCCCACGGTGTTTCTATGAAATTCAGGGCCACCACTCAGGATCCTGAATCTCCTCAACGCTGTGAGCCTGGCGCCACTCCAGGAGCCACCGAAGACACGTGCGAATCTCCAAACTCCCAGGAACGCTCATGTGCCCGGACAGAATGCACAGGAAGAGCTTTGGGAAGGGAGCACAGGAGTGAGGGCTCCGGTGGCAGACACACCCACTCAGGACCTGGGGCCTCGCTGGAATATGCAGGGCCTTGGCTACCTACTGGATAAATGGGAATAACAATCAATGCGTTACACGCCTGTCCTGGGGGTCTGTGGTCAGAGTCCTACAGCACTTCCTACACTGCCTGGATCATAATCAGTAGCAAACAGGGTTATTATTAATTAACTGGGCTCCCACTGGCAACCAAAGGTTCAGATTTTTGAAAATATTTAAAATGTAGCCACTTGGGACAAAATGGCCTGGAGTCCAGGCTCAGAAAATAACTGTTTTTGCAGAAATTAGCTGTGCAGACCCAGGACCTCCCCTCAAAGCTTGGGGCTAAGACTCTCCTGCCTCAGGTGCCTCCAGAAGTTCCGGTGCAGCCAAGGGCACAGTCTGATCCACACTGTGTTTGCCCAGGTCCAAGGGGTCCCAGGGCCCAGGAAGTGGGTGCTAAACCAGGAGAGTCCCAGGCCATGGGGACTGTCACCCTGTGTCCCTGAGTGTGTGTGGTCCACGAGGACCTGTCCGCTCCCGAGCTCAGCCTTCCTCTCACAGCCCTGACCCTCCACCTCAGTGACAGCTCTGTCCTGGTCACTGACCAGGCCTCTGCACACCAGGCTCAGAGGACAGCAGGGAGGAGGACAGGGTCCCTGTGGTCAGGAGAACTGGGTGAAATGCTGCTCCACCGGGACTGTCAGTGCTGTGGCCTCACACTCAGTGCTCTGAGCTTCCAGGCCAGGAAGCACCTGCTTTCAGGCTTGCTGTGCCTGAGGGAGGTCATGTGTGTGGAAGTGCTCATTACATGGTCACATACTCAGAAAACGACAATGAGGACAACTTCAAGACGGAGCCAGTAAGAAACGGGCCTGTGTTCAGGGAAAGGACCTAGTTTATTGCTGAATCATTCTTAATAGCAGAAATGGCCAGGCAATAACAACAGGAGCAGCAACTGCTAGTCACCTGGAATCACCAAGAGCCAACGCCAAGCATTGGGGTGAGGCTTTATCCTGGCCTTTGTTCACGTTTTCTCTCCCACAGGCGGCTCAGGGCCTGGCAGGCTGGGGCCCGCCTTTGACCCTGGACTCTGCCAGCCACGCGAGGATGGCCCTGCTGGGAAGAGGCGGGCGGGGTCTGTGCAGCTGTGCGCTCAGCAGCAGGATTGGGCTCATCCTCTCCAGGACGCGGTGCCAGCTCCCAGAGCTGTGGGTGGGTGTGCTGGGAGCTCAGAAAACGCTCTCCTGAGCCCCTGCCCAGAAAGATGCCCACATTCCCTAAGGGGGTGGGGGGTTCGCCTCCGCTCCTCCTGCTCTCCCTATGGCACAGTCTCCCACTGAGTGGGGGCGGGGAGAGTGTCCATCAGGGAGGCCAGCAATCTGGGCAAACACAAACCCCACAAACACAAACCCCAGCTGTCAGTTCCCTTCATGGCTGCTCTTTGGGAAAGCCCACGGAGAAGGAGAAGTCCGTGCGCCGGGAGTCTGGCTGGCAGAGAGGGAATGGGCAGGGGCACAGGGCCGGCCAGGCTTCCCCGCAGAGCGGAGCGGCGCTGGGCCTGGCGGGGCAGCTCGGCCACAGGCAGCACAGCGGCCAGAGGGGCCTGCGAGGAGCTGGAGGCAGAGCCCGGGAACAAGGCAGGCAGCTCCGGAGGCTCTGCGGGCGCGGCTACTTCACCATGTGTTCTCTGTTGGCATCTATTCCCGGGCTCCCTCAGGTTTCTCCATAAACATGGGGCAGGGCTCCAGGACGCCAGCTCCAGAAGAGGCTGCAGAGGGTGGCTCCAGGCAGGCCTGTGAGGCTCTCATGGCGCCCACACCATCCCAGCCCCCACAGCCTGGCTGCCATCTGTTCTGCAAAAGCCTTTGGGAAGAAGGGAGTTTCCTCTGGGCCGGTGTGGGAGGGGGAAGAACCGCCCTGTGTTTCTACAGAAATAGAAACTTGAGTGAAAGAAACTCTTAAGACTGTTTGGTCTCGGTCTAAAGAAGAATTTTCCAATATTAAATGGGTTAACGTACGAAGCTTTTGAGCTGCTTATCATTAAAAGGGCAGAACCACCTGCAGGTAAGAGTCCAGGGCAAACCCCTGCCTTGCTGGGAGGCCAGAAAAGCCTTACTGTCATCTTAGACGGGAACATAAGAACTGATCAGGGAGGTCACTGTGAATTCCCTCCTTTGCTCCCTGCACTGCTGTGTCTGCTGCTAAAATGGGAAGCCAAGCTGGGTCCCCATATCTCAGCAGGTAAAGTGCAGGGTCCTGGGTCTGTCTTCTGAAACAGTCATATAGCGTTAACCTTGAAACGCAGGCATGTTTGTAAGGAGAGGTGAGGAAAGTGAAAGAGAGGAAGATGAGAGACAAACAAACTTAACTGTGTAAAAACCACCACAGTGTAACTTCTCAGCCGTTTCTCCCATCTCCCTGAGCCAAGAAAGCGTCTCCGGGCGCACTGCCCCACCCGGCCGCTCCAGGTGTGTTACATTATCTTTAGGTGGTTAGCGAGCAGATCCAGGAGAATGCTGAATCCCAGCTACATGGGGTTCTGTAATATGGTGAGGTTGTCTTGGGTCTAGAAATGTCTAGGCTTTGCAAGTTCAAGAATTAAATTTTATGAGTATGCCTAAGATTGCATAGATCCTGAAGGCTGATTCACATGAATCACACTCATGAAAATTTGATAAACTAAATACTAATTTATTAATTTATAATAATTTATTAATTTATAATTTATTAATTTATAATGTCTGGCACTATAACTGACCAGATTCTACAAAGGGAAGATGACAGGCAGATGTAATATTCAAAATATTTATCAGCCTGAAAGGCATGGGCACCAGTTAATGAGAATAGATCCATAATCCATTACAATAGATGCCAGCTGGTTCGCTATTTCAGGTCCTATTAGGAGGATGGTAACCCTGGAAAGGGGTGTAAGAGTTAATATTTGAGTAACCCCACTACCTTCCAGACACTAACATAGTATTTTAATTGTGGTAATATTTGCATATATCTGTGAAAGCAGGAGTGGCTATATAAATCTCAGGAAAAGTGTACTGCAGAGAAAATAAAGTTATCAGAGACAAAGAGGAACATTATAAAGGGTGGGGCAATGGTAGGTTTATAGTTGTGAATATGCAAAACACAGAGCTTATTCTTGTATTATTATTATTTATTATTTACATTATTTTCCATATGAACAACTGTAAACCTACTTTTGCACTACCCTGTATAATGATAAAAGGGAAATCTACCTAAAAGAGATGACAGTCCTAAGTGTGTATGCACCAGGACTGCAAATTTCTGGGGCAAAATCTGATGGGACTAAAAGAAAAAAATAGACAAATGCATATTTTTCGTTAAAGGCTTTAATATCCCTTTTGAAATTTTTAAAGAAGAATTAGACAGAAAGAAGGTCAAGGAATAGAAGAACTCACAAAACTGTTAACCAACTGTCAGAAATTTTAAACTTATACATTTAAAAGACCAAATTTAAAACTCAACATATTAACATTAATGATTATTAGAAGGTTTAGTCCAGAATTTTTTTTAAATCACTGCTTAAATATATGCTGTATGAAGCCTCTCAAACACCAACCCAATTATTCTTGTTTTACTAGTTTTGTATTCTAATTAGTTTTGCAATACTAATTATATATTATTGAAAGAGAAAATGTTTTGCACAACTTCACTTTTTGTTCACTTTCACTGAGCTAAATCTGTTTCTGATAAGAAATGGGACAATCTGAGTTTCAGGCATATCAATGACAAGATTACACAAAAACACAGGACCCAGCCTCTTAATCAACCTGTGTACTCTTGGACTTTCCACAGTGAAAGTTGTAACCAGAATCTCCCTTTCCCAACATACTCATTTGTGGCAAGAAGACCGTGAAGAAAGTCAGCATGAGTACTACAGGGAAAGTAAGTACAGCTTTCTTTATGTCATGTCACAATTGCGTCCATTTGTGTGCTTGTCTGTTTAACAACACCTCAACACCCAACTAGTCTCTATATTCCTAAAGGTGAGAGACTGTCTTAGTCTTAGTTCCTCTCCTCCTTTCCCTTTGCTTTTACTCCCTGTGTGTTTTGCCTTTCCCTGGTGTTTTCAGTCCTTCCATAAGTAATATATCAAGCCCTATATGAATTTTCCAGATTTGAAGACACAGATCTTATGGAGACACAGAGTAATTATAAAAGACCTAGAGGCCCAGTGCACAAAATTTTTGTACTGGGGGGCGGGTGCTGTGCCCTCTCATAGTTCGGGAGCCCTCAGGGGATGTCCGACTGACAGCTTAAACCCGCTCCTCACTTCTAGCTGATCTGTGATCCCCCTGTGGGAGCGCACTGACCACCCCAGGCAGCCCGTGTGTTGAGCATCTATCTGCCCTGGGTTGTCAGTGCACGTCATAGCAACTGACCATTCAGCCATTTAGTTGATTTGCATATTAGCCTTTTATTATATAGGATAATTATAAGAGTGCACAAGTGTTTTCTAGAGCAACACTCTGGAGAACTTGTTGCTGGTACCTCACCTTCCTCTCCATTCTGCCTCCCCACCCCCACCCCCAGAATAATTAAGTCAGTAAGTTTGGGGGTAGGACCCAATAATTTGCAAATATTGATGCTGCTGGTCTGGGACTACACCTTCAGCACCACTACCTTACAATAATACTCTGCTTTGTTAAACCAGCAGGGGAAGACAGGTAAAAAAAAAATTATCCTCTAAAAATGAACTGCCTTTTACCACTAAAAACAAAGAGCGTGTGCAAGGCTGGCAAGAGAGGGAGAGGAAGTGTTCCTAAGCTGGCTAGACTTTCCTCAGAAGGGGACGCTTAGCATTTCCAAAATATTTTTTGTGCCAGGAGGGTAAAGTCAGAGGAAGAATGTGACCAGAAATAAGGCTGGAGAGATGGATAAGGAGAAACTCATGGAGAGTCTTATATATCATGTCAACAGATCCTGATAAACTATCGGTAGCCATAATATTTTAGGTAGGAAATTATTATAGTTCAAATGGCAATGATATAGAGGATGGATTTGAAGGTGATGAACCAAAGCCAGGTAAAAGGCAAGATAAAGTCCTGAACCACACATTAGCAGCAGAAATGGAGAAGAGGGGACAGATTCCAGAAAGTTTTAGATGATAGAGGTGAAGAGATAAAAATTAGGGCTACTTCCCAGGTTTCTTTCTTGGGTGAGTGAATAGGTTACATGGCCACACAGTGAAATAGAAAATGCAGAGGGCAGAGCAGATTGTAAGTAATGTCCACCACTGACAGCAAGGGGTGGGAAAAAGAGAAAGAAATAATTATGTGTTCATATTTTAACATGTTGAGTTTAAGATACCTGAGGACATTCAAATAGCAGGTGAATAAATGAGTCTAGAGCTTAAAGATGTCTGTCCATAAATACAAGCTGTCAAAGTCATCTACATAAAGATGGTGGTAGAATCTACAAAAATAGGTGAGAACACATAGGAAGAGGATTTATAGTGAGAACAGTGGTGGGCTGAAATCGGAAAAAGAACTTCTTTGCCACCAACAACCTCTCCAACCTCAAACTGCCTATGACCATCACCATTTGATGAATTGCCACAACTAGATGTTCTCCATTATCTGCTCCATAGCACACCCCTCCACTCCAAAACTGTTTCTCTCCTTCTCTCCCACACCTAGGATCACAAACAACTCCCACACTGCAATGCCATTCCTACCCTGAGACAAACACTGGACAACTTCAAGATCAAAAGTATGGCATCTACCCTCTTGATTGTGTAGCACTTCGTAAATATAATTAGTATTGCAAAACTAATTTGAATGAAGAGACCAATAGTATAAGAAAAGTTGGACTAAGATCCAAGAGGCTACACACAGAATATATTTAAGCAATGACTTTTTTTTTTTTTTTTTTTTTTTGGTTGATTGTGGAAGACCTGGACTAAACCTTCTAATAATCATTACTATAGAATCCATCTCCCAAGCCTAAAGCGTTTCCCTTTCTGCCCCATGTTCTCTTTCCCAGGTGATCAAATGCAGAGCAGCCGTACTCTGGAAGGCTGGTGCACCATTTTCCATTGAGGAGGTAGAAGTGGCCCCACCAAAGGCAAAGGAAGTTCGCATAAAGGTAAAAAGAAAAAATACACATGTCCACACCAAAAATCAGAGCTGTTCACTGCAAGTTATGTATTATTTTCACAATGTTAAAATCAGGAAGAAAACTACATTGTCTTCTGTTTCTTTCATTAAACATTTCCGTCTGTCTTTAAGTCCAGCCAGAGAAAAGGACAAGGAGGTATAGCATAGGCTAATTGCCCAAAGGATATTTATTCACAGCTGCAGTATACTACTTAAAGGAAGTTTCGACCACTGACCAGATTTTAATCTGTACTTTCATATTTGTTTATGACATTCTTCATGATGTTTAAGTTATCTTGAAATCTGACATATGAAAAAATGTGTTTGATTATAGATAAATCAAGTCTAACCCCTGGGAGGTCAGGTTAGGAATACCTGTTATTTTATAGATGAAAAGATTTTAATCCACTGAGGTGTAATGACTGATCACAGAGCTAAGTAAAGCAAGAACACAGGTGTCAACAACTTTCCTCAACTTTGATTACATATTTGGAAGCACCGAGAGCTTTAAAAAATGCTGATAACTGGGTCCCAACCCAGACATTCAGAATTTGTGATTTAATCAGTTTGGGGTACAGTCTGGTCATGAGAGTCTTTACATTTCCTCCAGGGGCCACCAGACCAGAGCATTGTCCACCTGACTTCGTTGTCATTATTTAATTTTAATATGATGACTAAGTACTGTTTGTAATAAGGCAGTCCTTTTCTTTGTCACCTGTGCAATCCATACCCCTTCTCAGAGTCTTCTCAGGCCTGCATCCATGCAGGTGCACAGGAGGCCCCCTGGCCCACTCACTCCTACCCACAGGGTCACCACTTACACAGCCAGGTTTAGACCCGGACCCAAATGTATACAACCATTATTTGACAAGCTACAAATGTGAATTTTCTCACCCATGAATTTGAACAAGATACAGAAACCGAGTAAAGCAGGAGATGGTAGGCACTGAAGAGGCTGGGAGGACTCGGGACCGATTGTCATCTTTTACCATATATATAAGCATGAGAAATAAGAAAAAGCCTGTCTTCAGAAAATGGTATGCACATGTTGAATCAGAGTGTAGATCTTAAGTCTGCTTGCTGGATTCTAGATCCGTGAGGCCTAACTGTACTTCCAGTTGGATTGTAAGCAATTTTACAGTATTCTTCCAATAATCCCCCTTTTACATGAGCAAATCTCAATAGATTTCAATTCTTGGGGTGTGTGTGTGTGTGTGTGTGTGTGTGTGTGTGTGTGACCCTCCTCACACCAATTTAGAGATAAAGAAACTGACACTCATGAAGAATAATGTATCCCAGGTCACACAGCTAAGAAGGGCATAGCCAGGATTTCGGCCTTTCTAGACCACCACTCCAGAGTGCTTCCGTTTTAAACTGTCTGGCTAATTTACAGCAAAAAGTGGGATTATAAATTGTATCAATAACACAACTATAATAGAAGATAGTATTTTTTTTTTCCTTCCTGTGTTCCAATTCCTTCATTTCTATCATTGGGCTTTCTCCTCCCCCACACCTCCACCCGCAAGCTCCGATGAAGGACACAGTAAGATATTTGATGTCACACTGTGGCTTTACAACTGTCCCTCCTGAACCCATTCTGACCTCCCCAGTAAGTTTTAAAATCATCATTTTGATTCTGAAATTACCTAATAAAAAAATATTGCATTGCTTTAAACAAATTATTAACACAATAAAGTTATTAGAAATAAAACTAAGAAATATGCAGCATATCAACCTACAAAAAAAGATTTAAAACATTAACAATTCTAAAATACCTTATCTGAGACAGAGAAAATTATATTACTCTTTGCCTTCCATACAGATCACGGCTACAGGGCTCTGTGGTACCGAGATTAAAATGTTGGAGAATCAAATGCAGTATCCCATCATTTTGGGCCATGAAGGGGCTGGAATCGTTGAGAGTGTGGGAGAAGGAGTGAGCACCGTGAAAGCAGGTATGAGCTGGCAGGTCCCTGGAGTTAGGAAATAGAAACAACTTGGAACTTACATAAGGAAAATATGAGATCAAGTGACATAAAAGGAGAAATGTTGACTGTTTGTTAGAAAAAAAAAAATAATCTATAGCTGAGACCAGTTTGGCTCAGTGGATAGAGTGTCGGCCTGCAGACTAAAGGATCCCGGGTTCGATTCCGGTCGAGGGCATGTGCCTTGGTTGCAGGCACATCCCCAGTGTGTGTGTGGGGGGGGGGGGGTGTGCAAGAGGCAGCTGATCGATGTTTCTCTCTCATCGATGTTTCTAACTCTCTATCCCTCTGTCTTCCTCTCTGTAAAAAATCAATAAAATATATTTTAAAAAATAATAATAATCTATACTAATAAAAAAGGTAATATGCTAATGTCTTCTGGACGCCCTTCCTGACAAAGATGGGCCTGAAGAAGCTGCCTGCCCAAGGTCCCAGGCACCTGTGGCTGTGACCCATGCCACCCACCTCGGTCCCAGATGACTGTGCCTGTAGCCTGCTGGGGTCCCAGGTGTCTGTTGGCCAGTCAGAGGGAGGGAAGCCTGGGTCTCTGGTTCCTGCAGCTGGCTGGAGAAGGGAAGCCTGGATTCTGAGTGAGGGGTCATGACAGAAGCTGTTAGGGGTGATCAGGTAGGCAGGCAGATGAGGGGTTAGGAGCCAGCAGTCCAGGATTGCAACCTAAAGTGGCAGTCAGATATCCCCCTAGGGGTTCCAGACTAGAAAGGGTGCAGGCTGGGCTGAGGTATTTCACCCCTGCCCTGTGCACAAATTTCATGCACTACGCCTCTAGTTATGTTATAAAAAATATATGTATATATCCTTTGCATTTATATCTTGATATTAATAAGGACAAGAACTAAAATGCACTGAAACAGAACCTGAAAGTATAAATGAGACAAAAAGAAGTGCACTGATGAATAGTTTATTTAAATGAAACATATGATAAATAGTCGAACAGTGGAACCAAATAGAGAAGGAGCCCAGAACGGGATCAAATATATACATAGGAATAAAATTCAGGATTAGGTCTGGCTTTTAAATATGAGGAGAAAAACATGATTATTCAATAAATGACATTGAAACAACTTGAGAGGCTTTGGGGGAAGGGGGACATTGCATTGCTACTGCATTTTTTATATTTAAAAAATAATGCTCTATGAATCCTAGAATTAAATGTGAAAAAAAACTAAAAGAACATTGTATTATTTCAGAGAAGAAAGTTTAATCAGAAACACACACAGAGAGAGAGAAATGATGTAAATAATATATAAAGTTGACAACATAAAAAGTTTTTTAAATTCCATTTATAAAAATTACAACTGGGGGTGGCTCAGTTGGTTAGAACGTCATCCCATACATCAAAAGGTTTCAGGGTCAATTTCCAGTTAGGGCACATACCTAGGTTTCAGGTTCGATCCTTGGTCAAGGTGTGTACAGGAACAAACTGATCAATGTTTTTCTCTCATATCGATGTTTCACTCTCTCTTCCTTCCTCTCTCTTTAAAAATCAATAAAAACATATCCTCTGGTAAGGATTAAAAAATAAAAATGCCCTCCCCAAATCAATAAACAAATTTTAAAAATGGGCAAATTTCTTTATTATATAAAGAATTCTTTAAAAGCAATTAAAAAAACAAAAACAACAGCCCAGCAGTATAATGGGTATAATGGGCAAAGGAAATACACAATCTAGTATGGAGAGGAAAATATAGACATATTAAATAAATACAATTTTTAAATACAATGGTAAAACATTGTTTACCCAGATTAGAAAAGATTTAAAAGTTTGATAATATATAAGATTGATAAGAGTGTAGGCAACCAACTTCTTTGTAGCTTATTATTTGATAAGTAAGTTTATATAACTTTAAATTTGGCAATATGTAACATCATTTATATGCACCTAATTTGCACCCAATACTTCCAATTCTAGAAAGTTGTCCACAGATATATACCCATGTCGTAGCTTTCTATTGCTGATTGAAAAAAAAATCTCTGCGAAGTTAGCAGCTTAAAACAAAACAAATTTACCATGTCCGTTTCTATATGTCAGAAGTCTATGTGGGTTTGACTGGGTTCTCTGCTTAGGGTCCCACAAGATAGAAATCAAGGCTTTGGACGGCTGGATTCTTATCTGGAGACTCTGGAGAACCAGTTCCTTGAGGTTGTAGGACTGACCAGTGACCCTCAGCTTTTTAAAGCTGCTCACATCCCTTCCTATGTGGCCCCTTCACCCATTTGCCTCAAAGCAACAATAGCACATCAAATCCTTCCAGTGCTTTGAATTACTTTGTCTTTCTCTCCTGCTTTCCTCTGCTGTCCTTTCAAGGGCTCATGTGATTACTGGGTCTGCCTAAAGATTCCAGGACACTCCCTATTTTCGTGTCAATTAAATACATTTTCAAAGTTCCTCTTTCTATATAACATATTCACAGACATGATAACAACATGTTCAGTTTCTGGGGATTGGAACAGGATATCTTTAGAGGACTATTTTGGAAATTCTGCCTACCATAGCCCAGATGTGCACAAAATACTTATTGCATTGTTATTTATCATGTTGGGAAAACACACACACACACACACACACACACACAAAGTTAAGGCAGGAAATAACCTAAATGTTTAAGAGACCAGTTAAATCAATTATGATATATCTATACAACAAAGTTCCACATAACTATTACACAAAATGATAGAGTGCTATATGTACTAAAATGAGAAATCTCCCAGTTATATTGTTAAATACAAAAACAAGACTTAGACCTGGCTGGTGTTGGTTTGATTCTCAGTCAAGGAATCCATCCTTGGCACTGGTTGGGGAATGTGCAGGAGGCAACCAATCTATGGGTCTCTCTCATCTCTCATCTCTCATCTCTCTCTCTCTCTCTCTCTCTCTCTCTCTCTCTCTCTCTCTCTCTCTCTCTCTCTCTCTCTCTGTCTCTGTCTTTCCTTCCTCATCACTCCCTTGCTCCCTTCCATTATCTCTATAAATCAATGGAAAAATGTCCTCAGGTGAAGATTAATAAAGAAAAACAAAAATCAAGGCCTACCTCAGGGTAAATAACATGCTAGCCTTTGCCTTTTTAAAGGGGTTATATCTCCAAAAATACCATGGAGCCTGAGAAGAGTAATTGTCTCTAGGGTGGGGGAAAGGGAACTGGAGACTGGGGCTAAGCTTCACATTTGTGCAGTTTAAGTTCTTACTTTCAAAAGACTAAAAAATAAACAAAACAAAAAAAAAATCTACGTCCTACAAAGGTCTTTAACTAAAAATATAAAATAAATTACTCTAGTTTACAGTGATAGACACTGGGGCAGTCAGAACGTCCATCTTAAGCAAGTTATTCTGATCTTCTCCTTAAATGTTGAATATTACTAGAGAAATTTACTTACCTTTGTCTCCATGGCCAAGGAGACAGAACCAATGTAAAATACATAGCACAGCATATAGACAATCCCTTTTTCTGGATCCAGAAGCGTACTTTGTGAACATGTGGTATCCATGTTGACAAATCCAATCAAATCCAATTCCTGACACCAGAAGTTCATGTGGAAAATTAAAGACAAGATTTGGTTTAATGGCTAACATTTGAAACGTCAGGATAAATTACAAAGGAGACAAGCTGGGGGCCAGCTCCTAGAGATTTGGCCAATGAGCCCAGGGGGACCCAGATGCCAAAGGGGACCCTTCTTGTAAGTATTTCATATTCTCCACACTTGAATGTGGAGATTGCTCTCAGGACTCATATTCTTCTTGGGTGCCTTGCTGTTTCCATTTTGAGAAACAGCTATCTCTTTACTATAAAAGAAAACATCTTATTAAATGACTTTGTTCTCTTAGGTGATAAAGTTATCACACTCTTTCTACCACAGTGTGGAGAGTGTGCCTCATGCCTTAATTCTGAAGACAACTATTGTATACAACTCAAGTAAGTTTTTATTTTGTTTTTGAAAAATTAATTCAATGTCCTTGGAAGGAATATAAGCTTGCTAATTCAAAATATTTTTAAAATATTTTTTTTGTTTATTAAAGACAGTCGCATACCAGCCTGATGACTGATGGTACCAGTAGATTTACCTGCAAGGGAAAAACAATATATCACTTTGCCAATACGAGCACCTTCTCTGAATACACGGTGATAAGAGAAATCTCAGTTGCCAAGGTCGATGCAATGGCTCCTCTGGAGAAAGTATGCCTCATTAGCTGTGGATTTTCCACTGGGTATGGTGCTGCAATCAATACTGCCAAGGTGAGAAACACTTATACCCATTATGATTGGAACTCTTAGTATATGAGGTAGATCAGCCTCGTGCATCTGGGCCATATCTGATCATTCAACCTGAGGAAGAATCACAAACCTGCCTCAAAACATCCCTGAGTTCTTTACAATCTGTCTAGTCATCCCATACCCTCATCAACATCTTTCCCATGCCCTCTTAGTCAGTAGAAAATGCCAAATTATGTGTGGTTGCCATTCACAAGTGGAAACATCAGGAATTACTGGCATTAAACATAACACAGTCACAAAATCGCTATGTGTCTTCCATATCCCAGTTCATTCTTTTTTTCATTCAACAACCATCTATGGAGTCATTCACTGTTGCAGGTGTAGAGATTTAGCAGCTATCAAAACTCACCAAGTTTCTATTCTGTTGTATAATGCATCCGGTGGTGATCCATGCTCGTGAAAAGAACAGAAGAGGAGAAGGATCAACTGATGAAAGGGGTGTTACTGTATAAGACAGATTGGTCAGGCAACCCCACTCTGACTGAGTGGGTTACTGTTGTACTTCTGTTTCGGAACATCCAATCCTGCCCAGCTCCACTGTTTAATTGGCTGTTGAATTTTAGTTCTTTTTCCCCCCAATTTTTATTAGTCCTAATACCATACAAAGAGATAGGATGGAAGGGATTCAACTTAAATTAGCCTCATTTGGGACCCAATAAGAAATAAGCTTTTGCCTTCATAAGCCATTGACGTTGTAAGTAATGGGAAGTTTACAGATATTCACAAGAAAAGAGAAAGAAAGGGTTGTAGGAATTTGAAGATTGTTTTAAAGAACTCAAAATATCCTAAATTAAGCAAATACTGAGCCAAATAAGTCTTACGGATCAAAGAAAGTTCATTCAACTGCTTCTATCCATGCTAATTCCTTGGTTGAAATGTTCTATCTGCAGTTTATTTTTTGTTCGTTGGCAAAAAAAAAAAAAAAAAAGTATCCCATATTTAGAAATACCTTGAGAAATTACAACTTTAGTTATAATATGTATTATTTTAAAATATCCTTTGCTACATCTCCAAAAAAAAGTATATACAGGCTTGATCTTTCCAACTGAGTGAATATGCGTGTCCTCATTGCTTTTGTTTTATGCTTTTACGTGCTCAGGTGACCCCAGGCTCCACCTGTGCGGTGTTTGGCCTTGGAGGAGTCGGCCTGTCTGTTGTCATGGGCTGTAAAGCGGCTGGCGCGGCCAGGATCATTGGGGTGGACATCAATAAAGACAAATTTGAGAAGGCAAAGCAAGTGGGTGCCACTGAGTGCATCAGCCCACAGGACTTCAAGAAACCCATCCAAGATGTTTTAGTTGAAATGACAGGTGCTGGTGTGGAATTTTGCTTTGAGGTCATCGGAAATCCAGAAATGGTGGTATGTAATCCTCACGAATGAAAATTACCAAATTTCTACCAATCATCACCTTAGATTTTACTTGAACAAAACTTATAAAACTTCTTCCACATTCCTCTATTTGATTTTCCTGCACTCATGACATCCCACCTGATACCCTCTATCCACTCCTACAAATCTATTCATTACCCAGAACTCCCATACTGTGTTTTTCTCCTCTCTCTTCTCAATGGCATGAAGGGAATCATACCATTCCCTTCAAATAAGCAGACAACCTCCAATAAGCAGAACAGAAAGGCCTTGTTATGAATTCTCAACGGAGAAGCCCAGTAACTTAATGTCTAAGCCAGAACACTTAGGCAGGATAAGGAAAATATTGGATTAATGATCCTATAAAGCAATGTGAGCTTTGCTCTCATAACAAAGTCTTTCAGGTTAGATCTGAGATAAGCTTCCAAGGAAAATATTTACCAATCTTGGTTAAATAGACTCATTTCAAAAATAAAGAAAAGAGATGTTGTTTTTCTGGCTAAATGTGGTTGATATCAGAGAATATGAATGGAGAAGAAGTTATTTTGCAAGTTGAGACTTGCTTTCCTGGAAGATTTGTAGGAACAATGTAAAGATTGGGTTGTACAGCTCCATCAGAAGAATGGAAACTCAAGAACTGCCTCTTCTAGCCTGGGTCCTTTCTTCAGCCTTCAAAGCCTTTTCACTCCTCACTACACATAAATCTCCTCTCTCACAGTCTTTCCCACAGACCATCAGGTTCTGAGAAATAGCCTTTCAAAACAACTAATGGGAACATTAGTTTATCGCTTTGCTAATACATGATGTAATACCAATATCCAACTGTACTCTTTTTTTGTTGAAAAGAAGATGTCAACTCTAACCATCAGTATCAATAATGGTTCTTAATAAAATGAGTAGTAGCAGTAGTAGTAGTAGTGATAGTAGTATTACTACCATAGATATTATTTTAATTTTTAAATTTCTATCTGTTTAATCTAAAATGTCAAGTACTATATATACCTGGCACAATGTCTTATTTATGTTTCAGCATATCCTTATAAGAAAAAAATGTTATTTCAAATGAGGATAGAGAGCCATACAAGAATGTCATCGACCATTCAGCAGTCAAGCAGAGATTTAGACTTAAGTCCCTACCTCTGAAGTACATCTTTTAACCCCTGCATTGTCTTGCATTGCTTTCCAACAGGCAGCTGCCCTGGCCTCCTGCCATGAGAGCCATGGAGTCTGCGTGATTGTGGGGCTCTTGGATTATGGTGTCCAGCTCAACATCAATGGCTACTTGTTCTTCTCAGGACGTTCTTTGAAGGGATCTGTTTTTGGAGGTATGGATGAAGCAAAAAAGAGAGGAGATGTATGGGGGTTTGGAGATAGCATAATATATAAATGTATCATAAATGTTTGAGAAGGCACATAAAACAAGAGCTTTACACCACAGTTTTTGTTTCAACACAAATATCCAATATAGGGAGAGGAATATTGGATATCTACAGTTGCCTCTTTTTTTAAAATATATTTTTATTGATTTTGTACAGAAAGGAAGGGAGAGAGATAGAGAGTTAGAAACATTGATGAGAGAGAGTCATCGATCAGTTACCTCTTGCACACCCCCTACCGGGGATATGCCCGCAACCAAGGTACATGCCCTTGACCGGAATCAAACCTGGGACCTTTCAGTCCCCAAGCCGACGCTCTATCCATTGAGCCAAACCAGTTTTGGCTACAGTTGCCTCTTGGTAAGCTTTTTCTCACAAAGAGAGAGAAGAGACTTTAAAAAATTGATTAGTGGCTGAAACTGGTTTGGCTCAGTGGTTAGAGCATCAGCCTGTGGACTGAAAGGTCCCGGGTTCAATTCCAGTCAAGGGCATGTACCTTGGTTGTGGGCACATCCCCAGTAGGGGGTGTGCAAGAGGCAGCTGATCGATGATTCTCTCTCATTGATATTTCTAACTCTCTATCCCTCTCTCTTCCTTTCTGTAAAAACTCAATAAAATATATTTTTTAATTGATTAGTAAAGAAGTCAATGTCCAAAGTTTAATACAAATTCTAAATTGAAAAGGAAAAGCAATTTTGTGATCAATAACCATACTTCAATAGAGTTCTATACCTGCCAACTGGCATTCTTTGGAGAGTATATTGAACCATTAATGATCATTGTTCAACAATGTAAATCTTATATGAAACAACTGAGTTGTCATTATACCAACTCAAACTATATTAAACATAATAGATTTACAACTAAAAAGAAATACTACTGATAACAAGTAAATGATATTTATTTTTTGAGAAAGAAAAAAATCATCAAGTACTTTGATTTTTATATTATTTTAAAATTTTATAGATTTTAGGAGTTTTTTATGAAAAAGAATAAGGAAGCTAAATTAAATAAGTCTGTTTAAGACCTGTGCTTCTAAACAAGTAATCTGATATTTAACAAAATATATATTTAGCCAGAGATTTTTGGGCAATCTGAATTCTTGGGCAAAAGAGATGAGAATTAGGAGCCATCTGCATTATTTGGACTAGTGAGCTAGCTGTGGTCTCCAAATTAGCTATGGTAGGGTAGTCTTACAGATATAAGGAGTCTTACCCTGTTCATTTGCAAAAATGATTAGTAGATAAATGACAGAACCAGAGAAAAGGCAAAAATCCAAGTTTAGATTGTACTTCCAGTTCCTCCATTTGGGATCATTGGATGAACACACTGTTATTTCCCTCTATTGTGTTTACAGAAAATAACTGCTGATTACAAAAACATACACTCAGCTAACTCATAAAATAACATCACCAATATTTTTATTTATTTATTTATTTATTTTAATAAGTTTTTATTGTTCATATTATTACAAATGTTCCTTTTTCCCCCCACCATTGCTCTCCTCCACCAGGTTCCCACCCCACCCTCTGCCCTTTCCCCACTCCCCATTGTCCTCATCCATAGGTGCACAGTTTATGTTCAGTCTCTTCCCACGCCCCCCTCTCCCCTTTTCCCCAAGAATCGTCAGTTCACTCCCCTTCCATACCTCTGATTCTATTATATTCAACAGTTACTATTGTTCATCAGATTTTTTTTTAATTTCCTTGGTTTTTAGATTCACTTGTTGATAGTTACGTATTTGTTGTTCATAATTTTTATCTTTGTTTACTTTCTCTTCTGAAAGAACCCCCTTCAGCAGTTCATATAATTCTGGTTTGGTGTTGATGAACTCCTTTAGCTTTTTTTTATTAGTGAAGCTCTTTATCTGACCCTCGATTCTGAGTGATAGCTTTGCTGGATAGATTATCTTTGGCTGTAGGTTCTTACTATTCATCACCTTGAATATTTCTTGCCATTCCCGTCTGGCCTGCATGGTTTCTGTTGAGAAGTCAGCTGACAATCGTATAGGTGCTCCTTTATAGGTAACTACCTTCTTTGCTCTTGCTTCTTTTAATATTCTCTCTTTGTCTTTTGCTCTTGGAATTTTAATTATGATGTGTCTTGGGGTGATCCTCTTTGGATTCCTTTTGTTTGGAGTTCTGTGTGCTTCCTGGACTTGTAAGTCTAATTCTTTCACCAGGTGGGGGAAGTTTTCTGTCACTATTTCTTTCAGTATGTTTTCGATATCTTGCTCTCTCTCATCTTCTGGGACTCCCATAATTCTGATGTTGGTTTGCTTGAAGTTGTCCCAGAGGTTTCTTACATTATCTTCAATTTTCTGGATTCTCTTGCCTTCTAGCTTCTGTGGAGGAGTGTTTTCTGGCTCTTTATGTTCCAAATCTTTTACTTGATTCTTGCGATCTTCCCTTCTGTTTTAGGACTCTGTAAAATATTTTTTATTTCAGACAATGTATTCTTTATTTCTTGTTGATCCCTTATCATTTCTTGATGACTCCTTATTAATTCTAGTTGATCTCTTTTCATATCTTCATAGGTCTTATCCATCTTTTCTAGGAAATTCTTGAAAAACCTTATAAGTGTAGATTTGAACTCTATATCCAGACGCTTTTTGTCCTCCATTTCTTTCGTTTGTGATCTATTTTGTTGTCGCATTTCGCAGTTACAGATGGGACGGGGTTTCAGGGTGGAGCCTGCAGCTTTGGCTTCCGTCAGCCCCGCCCTATGCGGGTCCTTCAGTGCTCGCTGCTGCCAGTGCCTCTGAGAGAAAGGTGCCCTCGATTTTCACCTGCTGCCAAACAGTCTATGCTCTCCCACAATGAGCCCAGTATTGGGGTTCAGTTCAGTTGGAAGTGGAGTTGGAGGTGGCGTTCAGAGCAGTCTGGAGCCCCAGTCTCCTTCCAGCCAGGGCAATCCCGCGGCAGAGCCGACCATCCCTTCTCTGCGCGCAGTGTGCCCGCCGCCGGGACCTCCTTTCGCCTCTCCCCGGGGTTCCGCCTTACAGCCCGGCTCCCTATGGCTGAGCCTGAGTCCCGGGGGTCTGGCTTAGAACTGGGGTTCAGAGCAGTCCCGGGCCCAGCACAGTCTGAGTTTTATCTCCTTTCCGCTAGGGAATGCCCACCAGGCACTCCGCCTCCCCCCCCCTCTCTGGGTCCGTCTTCTCCGCGCTGCGTCTCCGCTCCGAGCACCGCGTCTCCGTACCTTGGGCTTTTCCAGCTCCTCCGCACCTCCTTCTGGTTTTTTCCTTGCTTCTCACTGTAGAATTTCCAGTCAGTCAACCTTCCTGTAGATCTGGGCAATATCCGTTTTATATTTTAGTTGTATTTTATTGAAATTGTTGTGTGCGGCTGCGGCTAGGTGTTCACCTGGGCGCAGCCATCTTGGATCTCCAACATCACCAATATTTTAAATAATCCTCACAAAAAAAAAAAAAAAAACTATGACACTGGCCACTTAAACATTCAGGTAATCATCATTAAGTTAATTCCTTTCTCTGGTTCAATAGTTTTCAATTAAGGGCATCATTTAATGGGTGTTGAACAGGCCTGCTTAAACTTCCTGCAATTTACATTCGGAAGACTTTTCCCACCCAAAATGCCATCAGGCATTCTCCTGATGACTGAGACAAGTTAATGCAAAATCCCTTGACAATTCCCTGTGCCATTCTTGCTGCCTTTAGTGCTACTGTCAAGAAACACTGCCTAGCCTAGACTGTGTTCCTGGGGCCTTCCTCTTTGGATTGTTTGGTTGAAAGAAGGGGCGGGGGGGGGGGGGGGGGAGGGAGCACAAGTGAAAGTGTTCCTTATGTAGATATGAAAATGCTTTATCCAATCACCAAGCAAAACATATAAACAAAGACAGTAGATCTTAAAAGCTATCATTACAAGAAAAAAAAAGTGTTAACTATGTGTGGTGATGAATGTTAACTAAATTGGTTTAATAGTAATCATTTTTCAATATCTATATACATCAAATCATTATATTGTACACTGAAAACTAATACAATGTTATGTCAGTGATATCTCAGTTTTTGAAAAACAAATAGAAAAACAAATAGAAAAATACACTAGCCCTTCATGCCATGACATGCAGCACACTGGAATTATTGATTATATACATCAGAAACCAATTTAAATGCAAAATACATTCCTTGGAATAGTGTTGGATAATTTTGAGAACAGATGGGAAGACTGAAGAATGTGGCACAGGCTGAACCAAGAAAAGCACGTAACTGCCAAGACCCTATCAAAGGATGAGCTGCTGAGGACACTTGCCTCCTTGCACAGTTACACCTCACTTTCCCCTTCCAGAAACAGGCAGACCACCTCTCTGTGTGGTAACTTGTTGGCATGTCACTTAGCAGTCCTAAATATAGAAATAGTATTTCTTAAAAATTATGAAAACAGAAAATACAATGCTAAGTTTCTGTTCCCTTGGAGACCCCACCTTTCCCTGTGCAATTCTTACTTCCAGAGAAAACATTTCATTCTGATCTTGCTGTATACACATTCTTTGTTCCAAAAACTGCCAGTGAGATCACTGCCATGTGGAAATTCTTCTCTTTCCTTAAGATATTTGGCTCTTTCGTGAAACTGCAGACCAAAACCACACATGAAATATCCTATTCCTGACCTTTGATTTGCTTTCTTTCATAGTTCCCAATATTTTGGCCTTTTCTTTTTTCTTTTTTCCTTTTTTTTTTTTTTTTTTTTTTTTATGGTTGTTGTTGTATAGGCTATCCCCCCAAAAAAATGTATTCATACAGTTTGAATAATTAGAAAGGCAGTGTTTATTAAAATACACTTCCTTTTCAAAATTGAGCCATCAGCACTTAGAGTGTGGAAACACTTTTTGGGGACACCCTGTACATTAGATGTGGGTTCCCAGCTCCCAGACAGTGCCACCTGACACCAAAACATCTGAGATAAGGACCACAGGCCGCTGGCTTTTAGTAAGTTCTCTATAGCACCAGAGGTCTCAAGACTTTCAGGAGAACAGCCCTCTACACAGGGTATATGTTTGGGACAGGCATTCTCCTGGTGACTGAGACAAGTTAATGGGAAATCCTTAGATTTCCTCAGTCAAAGCCAACACCTCCAGCAGTTCACCAGGCCCTTTGTGTAGAGTGAGTCTCATGAATAAAATCTCTTGTTAATCTGTTGTATTTCCAGGCTGGAAAAGCAGAGAGAACGTCTCTAAACTGGTTTCAGATTATATGGCAAAGAAGTTTAATCTAGATCCACTGATTACCCATACTATGAGCCTTGATAAAGTCAATGAAGCCGTTAAATTCATGAAAACCGGAAAATGGCAAGTTCCTCCCCTAATGTCCAAGTGTTTGGGGCAAGAAGTGGGGGTGGGGGTCGGAGGCGGGGAAGAAAAGTCGTGGCTGGTGAACCACATGCAGACAAGCGAAGGTGGTTTCAGGAATCTATAAAGCACCTCCTCTCCCTCTTTAATTTACTCCCAGTCTATCAATGCAATTCTTGAAATATTTAAGTGCTCATCTACCCTCACCATTCGTATTTTATTTCCAGTTTGGCATTTTTTATATGACACACTAACCAATGAGTTTGGCTCAGAAAATTTTAGCTCATAATTTATGAAGAGGCCATGATTGTTCTATTTCAAAAGGGGGGAATTACCCCTCGAATTCCAAATTCTGACACCTATCTTTGGCCCACAAACAGAACTCCAGCCACCACCTAGACACTGGCCTTCCCCACAGGGCACAGACCTGCTTACGTGTTCCTCACCCTCGGAGCTGGGTGTCATTTTGAAAAATCTCACCACTGATTTAATATCTCCATTTTTCACATAACATGGACTACAAAGTGAAAATGTGAAATCACAAACACACATGTTGCTTTGGAACTGTTTCAACTTAATTTTTTCTTTCTTTTTTTTTTCTTTTTCAGTATCCGCTGTGTCATGTTACTTTAAGGACAATGTAATGAACACAAGATCCGTGGCATATTTTCACCAACTAAATTGCATCCTGTATAACTTCCATGACTTAAAAGGATTATCCACACAGGTCTTGCCTCTGATTCATTCCGTAGTGGGCTAATATCTGACTTCTGCTCTCACCACCTCATCAAAATTGATCCTTTGTCATCCAGTCTCACCCAGGAACAGCTCCCTGTTAGAGCTAGTGTAGGGTTGATTTGAATCACCTAATTCCAAAACCTTCAAACAGTCACCCCAAGATACTCCCATTTTCATAGTTGCCTTTACCTCTGGGCCCCTGATTCTTTGCACACTATGTCTCTCATCCCCATGAAACTCCACTCATTTCACACCAAAGAAATAAAATTTACCAATCATGAGTTTATTGTACATTCAGGTTAAAGCCAGCTGATTGGGGGGGAAGGGGACTTGATTACATTAACTTAAATATATCCCAGTTAAACACTAAGTCCTTCATTCTTAGTATTACTCATCTCAGAGATACTTCTACTGGCATTTCACCTTATATAACCCAGCCTCAAACCATCACTTATGCTTCTATGTCACTCACCTCTTCTCTCATGGATTGCCAAAGGAACTTTAAGTTCTTTTTTATTTGACCAAGACAATTTAGCTCTCAGCAGTTTGTGTCACCTGGCTTCCTAGCCAAGCCATCTAAAATTCAGCAGAAAGAAAAAGGGGCTTGAAAGAAAAGGAGAGTCATTAATTACCAGGATCCATGCACCCTAGGAGGCAGCTATGGTATTAAACAATAAAACTGGCTTCTATTCCACTCACCAAGGAAAGAGGAGATAGTGTGTCATTATTACCAATGAGTATCATTGTTTCTTTCCTTCAAGAAGGAGATGAGATAAAGACAAGGTCCAGCAGGGATTTGTGGCACCCAATCCCTCTCTACCCACTTCTCTGCCCTACTCCTTCCTAATTCTCCTAGAACCTGAGTTAAGATTGAGCCCTCATGGGATATGGCTTCTGCCCTATTCCCTAGATATAGAGTCTCTTTCAAACCCTCTTCTCCAAAACACACACCAGAGCTCCCTTCCTAGTTAAGGTTTCTTCTGCTGCGGTTTAGGCTCCCCGAGGTCTGAAGCCACTAGATCAGACAGGAGTCCCGTGGACCAGCAGACCTCGACAGACCTCGGGAAACCAGGAGATGAGATGTCACGTTTGTACCTCGTCCAGTCGCCTCGTGAGTTAAGATCAGCCAGGAAGGTGAGCTACATCCCCAGCCTATCTCTGCAGACACAGCTGCCACGTGTATCAAAAGGCTCTCAAGAGACTCCGATTCTCACACTGAGAAGCAGCCTCATGAGGTGGGCAGCCTGCCTTTCCTTCAGGGTCCCTGCCTGCTACAAACAGAGGGGATAGGCGCTATCAAACGTGTTCTTTGTCTTCCAAACTGTGATCCCAGTGGGAGAGGGCTCTCCTGCAGTGGGTTCAACCCTTAGCCTCTGGCAGAACTCTTCGAGTCCTAACGAAACAATGGACAACTAAGCAAGGAAAAATGATTAACTTCAGTGCCAAGTAGTCATTTGTTTCTGCATCTGGTGTGCTGTTTATTCTCAACACTTTGTTCAAGCACAGTTGTCTCTGGGGCCCTTCACCCTCCTGCTTTGGAATAGAAAATGACTTGTATGTTGATTTTATTCAACCTGCTATCTACATTAGAATCAGAGAAGGGCCTAGGTCCCAGCGGGCTGCCACTGCTGGCTGCCTCCTCTCTAGTCATCACAAAGAGTATTTTGACAAAAACTGAGGGCTCAGCATAGGGCATGCCCTATGGGGAATGCCTCTGCCAACAAGGGAGTGGCACTCTCCTTCTCCATCTCCCCAAGTCTGAGCCAGATGCCAACTCTGCTCTGCTCTGCACCTCTGTTCCCTGAGGGCAGCTCAGCATGCCCCTGCCCTGCCCTGCGAATAACCTTACTAACACTAAGAACTTGGAGAAGTCTTCAGGTCTTGGAGGGTCTGAGTCTGACCGAAAATCTTTTGCTCTCAACAGCACCTGCATCCTGCCCCAAGAAAGCCCACTTCTTTAAGCTGCTTCGAATGTCTCTTTAAGTTGTAGCGCATTGCAAACATCTGTGATCCAGTCACAAATGCAGACTTTTCCTCCTTTCTGTTGATACATGGCCAAAAATATTACACGAGTTCAGGCGACTACACACATCATTGTATACCCATGCACTGTCGCTGCTGGCCACGAAGGGAAAGAATTCATGAAAATATAAAAAAGGCTAGAAAAATTAAATGTTACAGAGAAATTTTTTTAAAATCCTTTGTTATAAACGAAGCCACTAACAATTTGCTAGAAAACAGTTTTAATTAAAAGATAGGAATGAAAAAGAAGTTAAGAAATGAAATGGGGGGGTAAGAAAGTGGAAGCAAAGACTTTAAATATACTTCCAAATAGTATACTAGAAAATTTTAATTATTCTACAATAAAATATTACTTAAAGTATGGATGAGATAGTGGAATATTATGGGATTAAAAAAAATGGTACAAAGAAAAACACGCTGACAGAGAAGGCAAAATACATTGTCAAACTTTTAAAAATACATACAAGGAACACTTGCATGAACTAATAGCAAGCCTCAAAGTATGCAAAGCAAAAAGTTGGAAAAGGCCCTGGCTGGTGTGGCTCTGTGATTAGAGCTTTGGCCAGCACCCAAAATGGGTCATGGGTTTGATTCAGAGTCAAGGGCACGGACCTAGGTTTGCAGGTTTGGTGTCCGGACTCAGATGGGGTGAATTAAGGAGGCAACCAATCGATGTGTCTCTCTCACATTGATGTCTCTACCTTCCTCCTTCCACTCTCTCTAAAAATCAATGGGAAAAAAATAGCTTCAGTGACTATATGAACAAACTTATAGTAATTATTTTTAAATATCTTAGTTAATAGAATAAGCAGACCAGCCAAAACCGGTTTGGCTCAGCGGTAGAGCCTCAGTCTGCGGACTGAAAGGTCCCAGGTTTGATTCTGGTCAAGGGCATGTACATTGGTTGCAGGCATATCCCCAGTAGGGGGTGTGCAAGAGGCAGCTGGTCTATGTTTCTCTCATCGACATTTCTAGCTCTCTATCTCTCTCCTTTCCTCTCTGTAAGAAAAAACAATAAAATATATATATTTTTAAAAATAGAATAAGCAGACCAAAAATCAGTATGAGCTGGCTCCAGTACACCACTGGTGCTTATTCTCATTAATGATCACAGAACTACAAATTAAAAGCAATTATTTATCACTCCACGCCCACTGATTATCAGAAATTATAAAGTCCAGCAATTCCAAGCATAGGCACGGTTGTGGCCCAATGAAAACACTGATACACCCTTGCTGGTAAGCAAAGCCATATTGTAAAAACACTCTGGCCTTCTCTATCAAAGTTGAAGATACAGTACTTCCACACCTTCTCAAAATATTTAACAGCCTCTGTGGGACACTCCATTTCCCACCAACAGCCCAGCAAGAGTTCCAGGGGAGCTTTGGCCCACAGCGCCAGCGGCCACGGCTCCATAAGCTCAGACGGGGCACCAGGTACTTGCCTACAGGCATCCAGGGACTACTCTGCTGAGCACAACCAGAGACCCGAAACCTCTGCTTGGCATAATAGTGGGTACTGTTTGCATATTAGTCCTGAATTTTCCTTAAGAAAACTTTTTTATGCAACCCTTAATTCATCATAAGAAAGAAAAAAGAAAGAAAAATAAATGATAATAGAATAAACAACTACATGCAATGTGGGGGGTTTCTCAAAAAACATGGAATTGAGAGAAGACATACATACACTTAGATTTCATTCATATAAAGTTTTTAATAAGTAAAGCTAAACAATACTTACAGAGAAGCATAAATTACAAAGAAGTGCAAGGAAATAATTAAGGTGGTACATTAAAAGGGTGGGTACAGGAAGGATTCTGGAGCAGTGGAAATGTCCTTTATAATTTTGTGTTAACTCATCTGTATGTGTAATAAACTTTTACCTATCAAATTATATTTTCCATGCGTGGGAAAGGGTTTGGGATGGGAATGGGGGGGGGGGGGAATGAGGACAAATATGTGATACCTTAATCAATAAAGTAATTTTAAAAAATTATATTTTTCAATAAAAGAGAAAAAAGTAAACAAAAATCTCCAAATAATGTCTGGGAGCAAAGGCTGTTTGCAGCTGAAATACGATAGTACAAAGGACATGATGAAATATGAGCAGAGATAAATAGATATAAAAAAAGGAAAGTGATTGGAGAATAAAAGAGCAGGGATGGCATTTATTCAATGGCAGTTCAATCCAGGATACAGAGAGAACATCGGGACAGATGTGAAAGCACGTCTTAAATCAGAAACGAGCTTCCAAGGCGAGTTTCCCAAAGAAAAATGGGCACCACGGGCAAAGTAAGTAAATGTACTTCTACTATTTCTTTGTTCAGATCTTCTTTATTTGTATACTTTTGCTTCCATTTAAGGTAACCTCTGAATGCATTCATTTAAAGTTGACCCAAAGTACCCCTTCATGCTAGAAATTTACTTATAAAATTATTGTAGACTGGCCATAATGCTTACAGCAGGGTGTCAAATTAAATATTTATAATTGTCAAAAGAAGAGAGAGATTTGGGTAACTGTACTCTAACCATAAAATAGAATTTGCATTTGTTAAAAGTAGTGTTAGAGAACAATATGGAAAATAATATTAATATATTAATAAGTAGAAAAAGTAGATTAAAAGTATCACATACAATAAGATCCCATTTGGGGGGATAATTCAAAGGATTTATCTCACAAAATTGCAGGTGGATTTTATTTTTTCTTCTTGTTTGTATTTTGAAACTTCCTATAATAAATATATATTGTACCTGTAAATAATACTAGTGATATTTTTTAAAATAATTCAAAATTACATAACTGTCAAAAATATGTATTCATGTTGTCAAAAACTAGGAAAATTACATCAAAAGAAAAAATAGAAGTATTAGAATGGAAAAATATATGTTTGTTTCTTTCTACTTTCTTTCAATATTGCTTATATTTAAAACTAAAATATATAATATTAAGAGGGAAGCCCAGCTGGAACCAGTTTGGCTCAGTGGATAGAGCGTTGGCCTGTGGACTAAAAGGTCCCAGGTTCGGCCGAAACCGGTTTGGCTCAGTGGATAGAGCATCAGGCTGCGGACTGAAAGGTCCCAGGTTCGATTCGGGTCAAGGGCATGTACATTGGTTGCGGGCACATCCCAGTATGAGGTGTGCAAGAGGCAGCTAATCCATATTTCTCTATCATCGATGTTTTTAACAACTCTCTATCCCTCTCTCTTCATCTCTGTAAAAAATCAATAAAATATATTTTTTAAAAAGAGGCAAGCCCAGCTGTTGTGGCTCACTGGCTGAGTGTTGACCTATAAACCAAGAGGTCACAGTTCCAAACCTCATCAGGTCAAATGCCCAGTAGCAGGCTCAATCCCTAGGAGGAATGCACGAGGCAGACAATCAATGATTCTCTCTCAGTATTGATATTTCTATGTCTCTCTCCCTCTCCTATCCTCTCAGAATTCAATTAAAATGTTTTAAGAGGCTAAATAAAATTTTAATTATAGAATCTTGCTTAATTTATAAAATAAGTTTATATAATACTATTTAATTTCTTTTATACATTTTTACCCAAAATTTTTGCAGTGACCAATTTTTTTAAAATTTTTATTTATTCTACTGACAAACTTACTAATTATTTAAACCTCACTTATCAAACTTTTATGTGCATATGAACCACTTGGATCTTGTTCAAATGCAGATTTTGATTAAGGGAATTTGGGACAGGGTTTGTAGCTCTAACAAGTTCCCTGGTGTTGTCAATAACTTCTGATCCTAGCGGGGATCATACCATGAGTAACAAACATGTAAAATCACACCTGTAATCTAGCAATAAGGAACTCAGGTAATTCAGAGCTGACAATAAATCCATCCGTCAACAAATACTTATTGGCCAAACCCTATAAATTTATTCCCTTTGCTACTGAAGGGGGGAAAGATCAAGGCATTATATTAAGGTAAACTTTAATGCACCTGTTTTTCTCAAAACATTAACAGGGCACCCTGGCCAGTGGGGCTCCTGTGGTTGGGCGTTATCCCTTGCACCAAAGTGTTGCCTGTTTGATTCCTGAAGAGGAGCCTGTGGAAGGCAATTGATCACTCTCAGATCTATGATTCTCTCCCTTCCTCTCTCTAAATTAGGGGTGTCGAACTCAATCAGAGAAGGGGCCAAAATCTAAAATCCAGCCTAAATCTCGGGCCGAATGGTTTACTGAACAGTCATAAACTGTCATTGTGATGGAAACGCAGCGGAGTGCAGTGATGACAGCGCGGTGCGGGCCACATTGCAAGGCCTGGCGGGACGGATTTGGCCCGCGGGCCTTGTGTTTGACACATGTGCTCTAAATAATCAATAAACTACTCTTTTAGAAAAAAAATAGAATGCGATGATTCTAATGTAGATCATGGTTTCTTATTTTCATTAATCCCTTTTCTATAAAATAATATAATTATATAAAACATCCAGCCACAAGTTATGGTATCAACATGCTTTTTCATTTCCCCACATAATATTCTCTCTGTCTCCCTTCCTCCCATCCTCCACCCCAAACTCTCCCTTCTCTCTCCTCTTCTCTCACTCTGGCCCTCTCTCTCTCCCAGGTTATTAAATGCAAAGCAGCCATCGCCTGGGAAGCAAACAAGCCCCTCTGCATAGAAGAGGTGGAGGTAGCTCCCCCCAAGGCACATGAAGTTCGAATCCAGGTGAGTGGGGACTCTCCCTGGGCAGGGCACAGTAGGCACTGACTTGGTGCAGACTTGGCTCTGTCAGGTCAAACCTGTGGGATGTGACTGGGAAGCGCGGCTGTTTTCAGTGTAGGTGATTGTGTCTTTAGGTTCAGATACAAACAGGCCTTATCTCCAGAAGGGGTAAATCATTAATTATTTATCAGTAGTCATTAATAAAGGGCTTAAAATTTAACTAAAGCACCTTAACATTAATCATTAACCTTAAGAATCAGATTAAGA